GTAATCTATGGTTGATCAGTCACTGTAATCTATGGTTGATCAGTCACTGTACTCTATGGTTGATCAGTCACTGTAATCTATGTTTGATCAGTCACTGTACTCTATGGTTGATCAGTCACTATAGCCACCCCATGTGTCTGTCTGGCTGTCTGGCTGGCTGTCTGTCCGTCCGTCCGTCCGCCCATCTGTCCCTCTGCCCACCATCTGTTCGTGCCTCTCCCTGTTGTAGTCAACGGCACACAGTCCAGTTTCATTATGCTGCCGAAAATGTCCACCACACAAATTCTCCAATCTACTCCCTTTGGTTGTGTCCTAAATAACGCTATATATTATATTATATATATATATATATATATATACTATATATTATATTATATATATATATACTATATATTCCCTATATATTATATTATATATATATACTATATATTCCCTATATATTATATTATATATATATATATACTATATATTCTCTATATATTATACTATATATATATATATATATTCCTTATATATTATATATATACTATATCTTCCCTATATATTATATTATATATATATATATATATATATACTATATATTCCCTATATATTATATTATATATATACTATATATTCCCTATATATTATATTAATATGCTATATATTATATTATATTATATATATAAACTATATATTCCCTATATATTGTACCAGTGAATTATATATAGGGAATAGGGACTGTGTCCCAATAATCTCTCCTTCCTCTTGAAGTGTACACTTGTTCACTACTCCACACTATTTCAAAAGCATTGGATTAGTGTTGGCATGTGCTGGAGGGGTTTTTCATATACCAGTCACGTCCTTTCAAATCCATGAAGGGAAGTGAACAAGTGCCCACTTCGGGAGAAAGGAGAGATTATTGGGAGGCTTCCAAGGTGTAATTTCAAACAGTCAGGTTATCCTTGTTGTGAGGCCTTTCATCACTACTGTATACCAGGGATGGAGTTCATTCCATTTCAATTCCATTACATTCAGAAGGTTAACCAAATTCCAATTCCAATTCCAAATGTTCCTCATTGAAAAGCATTGAAGATAATTGAAATTCCAGTGTACTTTCAGAATTGACTGGAATTCTAATGGAATTGACCCCAACCCTGGTGTAGATGTACAGTCAGGTCCCAAATTATTGGCACCCTTGATAAAGATGAGCAAAAAATGCTGTATAAAATAAATAACACAAAAACTGAGCTACAGTTCCTATACCACATAATGTTTACTCCAGTAGCTGCAGCAGCTTGCCAAAGTATTCCCCCCCTTGGCATTTTTCCTATTTTGTTGCCTTCCAACCTGGAATTAAAATTGATTTTTTGGGGGGTTTGTATCATTTGATTTAACCAACATGCCTACCACTTTGAAGATGCAAAATATTTTTTCTTGTGATACAAACAAGAAATAAGACGAAAAAAACATCCAGTGTTCTTGGGGTGATGAGAGGTGTTGGGTTTGCGCCAGACAGTACCTTCTCCCAGATGCCTTTTGCCGAACACCAAATGTGTTTGCTTATTTTTTTTCTTTAAGCAATGGCTTTTTTTCTGCCCACTCTTCCGTAAAGCCCAGCTCTGTGGAGTGTACGGCTTAAAGTGGTCCTATGGACAGATACTCCAATCTCCGCTGTGCAGCTCCTTCAGAGTTATCTTTGGTCTCTGTTGCCTCTCTGATTAATGTCCTCCTTGCCTGGTCCGTGAGTTTTGGTGGGCGGCCCTCTCTTGGCAGGTTTGTTGTGTTGCCATATTCTTTCAATTTAATAATAATGGATTTAATGGTGCTCCGTGGGATGTTCAAAGTTTCTGATATTTTTTTCATAACCCAACCTTGATCTGTATTTCTCCCCAACTTTGTCCCTGACCTGTTTGGAGAGCTCCTTGGTCTTCATGGTGCCGCTTGCTTGGTGGTGCCCCTTGCTTGGTGGTGTTGCAGACTCTGGGGCCTTTCAGAACAGGTGTATATATTCTGTGATCATGTGACAGATCATGTGACACTTAGATTGCACACAGGTGGACTTTATTTAACTAATTATGTGACTTCTGAAGGTAATTGGTTGCACCAGATCTTATTTAGGGGCTTCATAGCAAAGGGGGTGAATACATCTGCACGCACCACTTTTCCATGATTTATTTTTTAGAATCTTTTGAAACAAGTACTTTTTTTCATTTCACTTCACCAATTTTGACGATTTTGTGTATGTCCATTACCTGAAATCTAAATAAAATTCCATTTAAATTACAGGTTGTAATGCAACAAAATAGGAAATTGTATGCTCAAAAGAAATGGGAAATTATGTAATTTTATCCTAATTCAATTGCTTAGAGAAAGAGATTTTGTTTAACAATTAATACTTTTTACTATAAAAAAGCTAGGTGTCAAAATTACTGGCACCCCTGTTTTCAACACCTTTCAATACCTCACCTTGCGGGGGGAAACGGCACTGATAACGCCACATGTTTTAGTTATAAATGATGTGGTTAACTGTACGGATGAAAGGGCAACATTGTGCCGCCCCTCTTCATTGACCTGTCAAAGGCTTTCCATACCGTTGATCGCTCACTGCTAATTCAGAGGCTTGGCTCAATTGGCCTAAACCAGGCTGCATGTAGCTGGTTTAAAAATGACTTGACAGATAGAACTCAATGTGTATCTACTGATGGTGTTAAATCAGGTTTCCTGGATATCACGAAAGGTGTCCCACAGGGGGTCCACCCTGGGTCCTGTACTTTCTACTGTTTACATTAACAATATCGAACTTATCTGTAAAGAAAAAACTGTAACCTGCACTTGTATGCCCGATGATACTGTTGCGTATGCTATTGCCCCCACGGTTGACCAGGGTTGATCTGAACTACAGTCTGCCTTCATTGAATTACAGGAAAAACTTTATTGACCTGAAATTAGTATTGAATGCAGGTAAAAACTCAGTATGGAGTGCATAGAAATAACTCTGATGATTTAACCATATGTACTTTGGATGGTGTCCATATTGATCGTGTCCCTACTTACAAATATCTGGGCATCTGGAGAGACGAAAAGCTGTCTTTTAAAAAGCACATTGATGAGTTAGTTAATAAAAATTGGCTTCTTCAATAGAAACAGGTCCTGCCTCTCGCTAAACAGTAGAAAGCAGATTATTCAGTCGACGTTCCTATCGGTCCTAGACTATGGCGACGTCATCTATATGAACGCAGCTGCCACTTCATTAATGCCGTTAGATGCAGTTTATCATAACGCTCTGCGCTTTAATACGGGCGGCAATTTTTTTTTGTACTCATCACTGCATTCCCTACCGGAAAGTTGGTTGGCCCTCTTTGATGTCACGTAGACATTGCTATGTTTTTTAATTTATAAAGCACTTTAACAAAAACTCTCACTGTTTCCTATGGTTACCAACCTTTAGGCGTGAGTTACCACACCCGGTCTCAGGGATGGATCACTCTGGAAGTTCCTTTGGTCTCTACGGGAGCTTTTAGTTTTCTTGCACCTTTTATTTGTGGAACAATCTTCTAAATGTTCTTAAACGTGATGTTCTGGTGTCTCTAATTCAGAAAGCTGATAGAGGACCTTATTACTGATGAACGTGTTTGTTCTTTATGACCGTGTCTTTCTTTCAGCTTGCGTTTTGTATTTACGTGTGGTCCTCTGTAGCTCAGCTGGTAGAGCACGGCGATTGTAACGCCAGGGTAGTGGGTTCGATCCCCGGGACCACCCATACGTAAAAATGTATGCACACATGACTGTAAGTCGCTTTGGATAAAATCGTCTGCTAAATGGCATATTATATTATATTTTGATGTGTGTATTAATGTAATTTCTGTGATTCAGGGCTCATCTGTACAAGACACATTGGTCTCAGTATGACTGCCTGATCAAATAAAGGTTATATAAATAAAGTAAAATAAAATATGAGTTGGAGAACACATTGGGAGGAATCTGAGACCATTCCTCCATACAGAACTTTTCCAGATCCTTGATATCCTTCGTCGGCTGGGTCTCATGTGAATCCATGTGACCTACATAGGGAATATGGTGGCATTTACAAACACAACCCAATATAAATAGGTCCCTGTGACTGGAGAAAGCATTATAGTCCATGTGACTGGAGAAAGCATTATGGTCCATGTGGCTGGAGAAAGCATTATGGTCCATGTGGCTGGAGAAAGCATTATGGTCCATGTGACTGGGGAAAGCATTATGGTCCATGTGGACTGGAGAAAGCATTATGGTCCATGTGACTGGGGAAAGCATTATGGTCCATGTGACTGGGGAAAGCATTATGGTCCATGTGACTGGGGAAAGCATTATGGTCCATGTGACTGGGGAGAGCATTATGGTCCCTGTGGCTGGAGAAAGCATTATAGTCCATGTGACTGGGGAAAGCATTATGGTCCATGTGACTGGGAGAAAGCATTATGGGTCCATGTGACTGGAGAAAGCATTATGGTCCATGTGGCTGGAGAAAGCATTATGGTCCATGTGACTGGGAGAAGGCATTAGGGTCCATGTGGCTGGAGAAAGCATATTTCCATGTGACTGGGGAAAGCATATGGTCCATGTGACTGGAGAAAGCATTATGGTCCATGTGACTGGGGAAAGCATTATGGTCCATGTGCTGAGAAAGCATTATGTCCATTGACTGAGAAAGCATTATGGTCCATGTGACTGGGAAAGCTTATGGTCCATGTGACTGGGAAAGCATTATGGTCCATGTGACTGGAGAAAGCATTATGGTCCATGTGACTGGGGAAGCATTATGGTCCACTGGAGAAAGCATTATGGTCCATTGTGCTGGGGAAAGCAATTATGGTCCCTGTGACTGGAAAAAATTCCTGTACCCCCTCAGAAGGACCTCTTCCATGACTTGCAGAGTATTTTCTGAATGACTGGGTTCTCGTCAAAAGTAGTGGACTATAACATGCATATACTGTAGGTCCATCCGTTTTCAAATATTGGCCCACATCCGTGTCTGTTCAGAAAGACCTCTTCCCTGACTTGCAGACTAGAATCTTCTGGAAGGCTCGTCTGAAGTCCTGATTGAAGATGGTGTAGATGACGGGGTTGAGGGAGCTGTTAACATAGCCTATCCAGAAGAAGAACTTAAAGAGAGTCTCAGGGATCTCACACGGCGCCCGGCACACTCCATACAGGCTGCAGGCAGATCAAATACAATCCATTAATTAATCAATCAATCCAATCAATCAATCAATCAATCAATCTAACAGTTGGCTACCACTTGGCTGTAGTCCAATTAAAACAAATCAAAGTATTTAGTTGTTGTCCCAAATGCCACCACCCTGTTCTCTACATAGTGACCTACTAGAGGGGCCATGGGGTGACATTTTGGACACAACCTTAAAGTGAAATCTCAACACACTGACCTTACAGTAAAAAAACAATCAAATGACTGAAGAAGCTAAAAGCTCAAAGTAAACAACAAGCAATATAAGAGAAATAGCTGTCTCAGTGGTGTCTGCCCCTCTTACCTGATGGGGAAAGATGTTACATAACTGTGGAGCTATGGAATACTATGTATTACAGTATTACTGTGTAGAATACATAGTAGAAACCAGTAGAAACCAGTAGAAACCAGTAGAAACATAGTAGAAACAGTAGAAACTGGTAGAAACCAGTAGACACGCCGTAGAAATAGTAGAAACCAGTAGAAACACTGTAGAAACCAGTAGAAACCGGTAGAAACCAGTAGAAACACTGTAGAAACAGTAGAAACCAGTAGAAACCAGTAGAAACCAGTAGAAACCAGTAGAAACACTATAGAAACCAGTAGAAACCAGTAGAAACACTGTAGAAACAGTAGAAACCAGTAGAAACCAGAAGAAACCAGTAGAAACACTATAGAAACCAGTAGAAACCAGTAGAAACCAGTAGAAACCAGTAGAAACCGGTAGAAACCAGTAGAAACACTGTAGAAACAGTAGAAACCAGTAGAAACCAGTAGAAACCAGTATAAACAGTAGAAACCAGTAGAAACCAGTAGAAACCAGTAGAAACACTGTAGAAACCAGTAGAAACACTGTAGAAACAGTAGAAAACAGTAGAAACCAGTAGAAACCGGTAGAAACACAGTAGAAACCAGTAGAATACCTGTAGCTAAAGAAGAAGGGGAACCAGCAGACCACGAAGACGCCCATCACCACCGCCAGGACGAAGGTAAACCTCTTCTCCCTCGCTGCCGTTATCGTCTTCCTGTTTACGGTGCTCCGCCGCTTCCTACTGGACGAGAACATCTCCATGGACCTAGAGCTGGAGCGCGACTTCCTGCTTCCTGTGGACTTCCTGCTCTCTGAGGGTTTGGACGAAGCCAAGCTGCTCTTCCTGCTTCCTGTGGACTTCCTGATCTCTGAGGGTTTGGACGAAGCCAAGCTGCTCTTCCTGCTTCCTGTGGACTTCCTGATCTCTGAGGGTTTGGAGTCCTTCTTGTCATCATGGTGATGGTGGTGGTGGTGATGATGATGATGATGTTGGGAAGAGGAGGAGGAAGGGGGACATTTTTGGGGTTTTTCGTCCGACGAGCTGCTGTCGTCAAAGTCGTCTGCATCGTCTGGGTCGGGGGTTGATTTGGGCTCGTTGGGTAACAGCCCCGGTGGTACCGGCGTCTTCTGCTGGCGCTGGCAGTGCCCGTTCTCCCGGGCAACCCCTCCGCCCCCACCGTTCTCCTTCAGAGACCCTCTGCCCCCCTCCTCGCCCCCCTGCTCCAACCCGTTAACGTCTAACGGGGCCGTTCCGTTGTCCTCCACCTCTCTCTTCTTCTCCGACATGGTCCGCGTCCTCGTCTTAGCAACCTGGTAGATCCTGATCAGAAGAAGAATCATCATTTACACTTGAGCCATTTAGCACCACACACTAGGTAGTGTACTACATAGGGAAATAGGGTACAATTTCAGACACACACTAGGTACATAGGGGAATAGGGTACCATTTCAGACGTAGCCTTAGTAGTGAACTGCATGGGTGGGTATAAGTAAAGGGGGGAACTCAACTCACCTGATGTAGACTAGTATCATGATAACGCAGGGAGCGAAAAAGGACCCTATACTGGAGTAGAGGATATACCAGGTCTCATCATTCAGCCGACACTGAGGACGGATGTCCCCACCGCTGCTCCTGTCCATGGAGATCAACGGCGGAAAGGAAATAACAGCCGAGATCAGCCACACCACGACGATCATCCCCTTCAGCCGTTTGGGAGTCCGCTTCTGGTTGTATTCTATCGCCTGGGTGATCGACCAGTAACGATCGAGGCTGATAGCGCACAGGTGAACTATAGACGACGTACAGAAGAGGACGTCCAACGCCAAGTAGATGTCGCACCAAACTTTCCCGAAGAACCAGTAGCCCATGAGTTCGTTGGCTAAAGAGAAGGGCATGACGAGAGTAGCCACCAGGATGTCCGCGCTGGCGAGAGACACCAGAAAGAGGTTCTGTGGCGGTTTGAGAGCGCGGCTGGTCAAAACGGCGATGACCACCAGAACGTTGCCCACTATGGTAAACAGGATGAGAAAGCCAACGACTACAGCCAGTCCCGTTATGGAGAGGAGAGAGTACTCAGTGTCCCCGGTAACCGAGGAGGAGTTGGTGTATGTGGTATTCCACTCGTCCGCCACCTCGGAGAAATTCAAGAAATCCATTATTTTAATCACTCAGGCGTGACGGTAAAAAAATAAAATAAAAATCCAGGGAAATAATATGTGTTATTCACTAGCACACATCCGCGAAGGGTTAGTTATATTTCACATGTCTTTGGAGAAAAACGTTGAAACCACACCGTCCCTTTCCCCTCTCTCTCTCCGCCCTCTTGCTCTCTCTCTCTCACCTGCTTCTTATCTTCAGCGCTGTCATCTCCGATCCTTTCCGAGACAGAAACGGACTAAATAAAAATCTGAAAAAAATTCAAAAATGCTCCGAAGACAAACTGTCATCCGTGTTAAGATTCGACATAACTTTAATCACCACCAGAAAATATCCGTTAGATCCATCCACGCGCCCTCCGCGGGTAGCAAATGTCCTCCCTGCTCCATCCCGACTGCATCTGCGTCTGACCCCTCCTCGAGCTCCCCCGCCGCTACACGGAGTGTCCTGCTCGAGAGGTTTGTAACAGCCACGTGCTGTTCGCGGCGTTTAAACTCACAGGGACCCCGCTTCTCACCCTGTAGGAGAGAGAGAGAGAGAGAGAGAGAGAGAGAGAGAGAGAGAGAGAGAGGAGAGAGAAGAGAGAGAGAGAGAGAGGAGAAGAGAGAGAGAGAGAGAGAGAGAGAGAGAGAGAGAGAGAAGAGAGAGAGAAGAGAAAGAGACTAGTCCCGGCTCTCTAGAAGGAGCAGCGTCGAAATTTGATATATACTATAATTTAAGAGCGACGGACGAAATAGAGATTTTGAGAGCAAAGGGGGAGTCGATTTAGAATAGATTCTTGTCTCTTCCCTCGTGACTTTCTCTTCTCTCCTATATTATATGCACTTTGAACTCTTTATCTTTTGGATTCTGAGTGTAGTTTACTGTTAAATTTCTTTTTTCCTTTGGTTACTATCTACTCCTCTTTGGCAATGTTACACACGTTTTCTGGCCAAAACCCTTAAATTGATTTGAATGATTACGATGTAGAGGAGAGAGAGAGTTTTTTTTAGCGTGTTATTTGAGAAATGTCACACACCCCAACACCCCCCACGCATACACACCACACGAACAGCTCGCGCACAGCATCGCAGAACGTTCATTTAATTCAAGAAGAATGTGTGTCTGGTTCCTCGCGACCGCCGGTTTGTTTGTTCTGTCCTGGAGGTCACTATTGTAAGGCGGGCCCGGAGAGAGAGAAGTCACACCATAACGCGACCGGATAATAACTATGTGTAACCAAAACATTGCGGGTCTCACCTTTTTTTGCTCGCTGGAGTACTTTTAAAAAGGGGTTTTTTCCCCCGGGGGAAAATCGACAGCCCCAAAACCGGGGAAAAAGGGAGGTAAAGAGAAAAGGGGGGGGAAAGAAGCCCCCCCGCCCCCTTTCGGGGGGGGTTTTTTCCCCCCCGTGGGTTTTTTTCCCCCCTTTTTTTTCCCCCCCCTTTTGGTTTTCGACTTAAGAGAGAAGGGAGAGACGGGGGCCCGGGTCACCTTTAAGGATAGGATACAAAATTTTTAAAAAAGAAATTAAAAGTAAGTTACTAAATTGAGATTAATATTTTGTAGAGAGAAAAAAATTTTTTGGAAATGTAAAATTTTTACCAATAATTAAATTTTATTTTTTAATTCGGTATTTAACTTTTTTTTTGGAATTTATTTTTCCGTTTTTTTTCATCCCTTTCCCAAACACAATTCCCGGGCCAATAAACCCTAAAGGAATTTTAGTGAGAAGAAGTAAATTTTTTAAAAAGTGTTTTTAAAATTTCCACACCCCCCTACACCGCCGCCAACAAAACCCAAACGCCTTTCCACAAAATGGGGGTTTCATTTAATTCCAGGTGTTTGGGTTCTCTCGGGGAAGGGTTTGTGGTCGCCTGGTCATAATTAAGGCGGATGGCCCGGGGGAGAGGAGATCCCCAAACGCCTATAAAATAACTGGGAAACCTGAAATGAAAGGTTTTAATTTTAAATGTTTTTTACGGTTTATTTGGTTAAAATTCCCCCCCATCCCCCCCCCACCAACACACAACCACACAACCCCACCAATAATTGAATAGAAAGGAAGAGCTTGCTCCTCCCTTTCCCTTGCTTCAGGGAAAATATATAAAACACACTTCAAGTAATATATGAAGCCGCTTGAAGTCGTTTTTTTCCCCCCCTGCTGAAAACGTCTATATCGGTCCGCTAATACAGGACTAGTAAAGGCCCAGTGCACTACTTTTTGGGGAAAACATTTTACTAATTGTATTTTAGCGTTTACCAGCATTTGTAAATTGAGTCTGATAATTATCTACACAAATCAGTTAATCTGATAATACTAGTGGAATATAAAAATAAAAAAACTTGCTTTTTCAGTTTCTTGAAATGCTTAGCGAATGCAACTTGTCTCTAGGTGAAAACTGAAAACGGTCTATTCATTCCTTTTCGTAGACGCGCTTATCCAGAGCAACTTGCAGCAGTGAATGCATAGTGAGGGCTTTATCGTACTTGCCCCCAGTCGGAATCGATCCCACCACCCTATCATTGCAAGCGCCTTGCTCTACCAACTGAGCCACATCATCAAAACCACTTGATGTCTCAATGTACTCAATATTACTGTACTGTGCCGTTGTTTTTCTTCACGGTGATGGAAAGTCTACCGTTACAAACCTAGATGACCAGCCTATGTACAATACAGGATGGTAAATTAATATTGCACAATATAATTTTCCATGTTATTTTATCAAGATAAATATTTAATTTGATGTGGATGGTTTTGTGTCTTTGCCCATAACTTGGCACCTTTTGATGTAAATGTTTGAGGACAGGGATTTGTTCTTTCTGGATTCCATTAGAATGATCGCAGAGAAAGTGACATAATAATAATAATAATATGCCATTTAGCAGACGCTTTTATCCAAAGCGACTTACAGTCATGCGTGCACACATTTTAACGTATGGGTGGTCCCGGGGATTGAACCCACTACCTTGGCGTTACAAGCATGGCAACGACATGGCAACAACTCTAACAATTCCAACTATTGAATGCTGCAAGATACTGTTCTTAATTATCAGTGGTGTAAAGTACTTAAGTAAAAATAATTTAAAGTACTACTCAAGTAGTTTTTTTTTGTATCGGTACTTTACTTTTCTATTTATATTTTTTGACAACTTTTACTTTTACTTCACTACATTCCTAGAGAAAATAATGTACTTTTTAGTCCATACATTTTTCCTGACACCCAAAAGTACTCATTACATTTTGAATGCTTAGCAGGACAGGAAAATGGTCCAATTCACACACTTATCAAGATAACATCTCTTGTCATCCCTACTGCCTCTGATCTGGCGGAGTCACTAAACACAAAGGCTTAATTTGTAAATTATGTGTGAGTGTTGAAGTGTGCCCCAATGGCTATCAGTAAATAAAAAAAACAAGAACATTGTGTGATCTGGTTTGCTTAATATAAGGAATTTGAAATGATTTATACTTTTACTTTTACCTTTGATTCTAAAGTATATTTGAGCAATTACATTTACTTTTGATACTTAAGTATATTTAAAACCAAAGTACTATTTTACTGGGTGACTTTCACTTTTACTTGAGTCATTTTCTATTAACGTATCTTTACTTTTACTCAAGTATAACAATTGGGTACTTTTTTCCACCACTGTTAATTATTCAACTATCTTTTTTGCCAAAGCAGAGATGAGGAATTGTTTTCTTCCGCTACAGAGGTCTTTGTTGATCCGCTAATACTAGTAAAGGCCCAGTGCACTACATTTGTGAATAAATAATATATATATATATATTTTTTTTTATTCCGATTTTTCAGGGGGGTTTTGCCTCCCCCTTTCCCGGGTTTTTTGTTCTTTTCCCCTCCTTTGAAAGTTTTAAAGGGGCCTCCACCCAAAGGGTGATAACTATAACGGGCGAAAAGGTTTTTTTTGGGGGGGATGGTTGGGGAAATTTTTG